TACCTCCTCTGGAGAAGAGGCAGGCTCTTCCAAAAACTTTCTAGTCTCGTTAAGTTTTTCTGTTGCGTGATATCATAGAATCATTGCATTATTAAGGTGGGAAAAGGCCACTGAAACTCTCTAGTCCAATCATTAGCCCATCCCCACCATGCCCACTGACCATGTCCCTCGGTGCCACATCTCCATGGTTCTTGAGCACCTCCAGGGACAGTGACACCACCATATCTCAGATTAACTTTGTTTTCACGAATAACTTTATTAATAGATTTCTATATTCACCCAAATCAAACTGCTCGCTGGTTCTTAACAATTGCTAATTAGACAAGATTTAATACCATGGGAATCCTTTGCCTTATCTTTGACATAACCATTTTGCTTTTAATTGGAGAAGGCTTTGTGGACAGCCTGGTGCTAGCTCAGCCATTATTTTTTGCCCTCCCCTCAGCACAGTCTCAGCACAATCTGCTTTAACAAGCACTCAAAGGTTGTTGGTACTTATGATTTCTTGCAGAAGCATTTGAAAGGTTACTAAGAAACTTAGCATGTCTGTAAGACTATGCTGTGATAGTGTCAAACCCAAGATTGTAAAATCAACATAATTTATATAACGTGCTTAGAAGTTACAAGCTCCACCTTCTATCTACAGTTGATCGCCTGTATGGCTGTCAGCAGCCAGGTCCAGCATCTGTCTGCACAACCCCGAGCTTGTCAGGCCTCCAGACACAGAGCCAGTTTCAGCCATGGCTTCCCTCTGGCAGGGCAGCCAGCCTTCGGGTTGCGTGGGTGACTTTGGCTCGCCTCTTCCCACAGAAAACAAATCAGCCGCAAACTGGAACTCAGGCCAGCCGTGCTGAATGGTTAGCAAAATGTTCACTTAGCCCGAAGCTGGGATTTGTGTTGTCTGAGCCAAATTTCAAGAGAGGCAGCAACAGTTTCTAGTGTTGGGTGGATGCCAGCCAGGTTATGGAAGTTATGAGCAAGTGTTGAGGCCTGTCTCAGACCTCAGTTTCAGGGATGCAGGCCTTGCAAAGTGGAAGCCAGGGAAATTTCACATGTAGACCACTGAGAGCTGAAACTGCAGCCCTCACTGCTTTTCCTCTGTTGGGTTCTGGCTGTCAGCTAAGGCTCATTTGCACATCACCTTAGGTTTGCTGAGAACTCCTGGACTTCTGAGACAGAAGTCATTCCATTTTAGCTTTGGATGATGGTGCTTTAGAAACCACAAGGTCACCTGAGAAGTGCGGCGCTCACAGGTCTCCTTAGTTGTTTCTCCAATTTTCTTTCCAAGTTCTCTCGCTTCTCCAGAGACACTGGTCTGCTTTACAAATTGTTTCCATCCGCATCAAGTCTCAGAGCTGCCTGAACCACCATCCTGTCCTCTACTCAGGGACTGAATAATGCTTCAAAGCTCTGGGCTCTGATGCTCTCTTCTACACCCTGTTCTGCCTAGGGCATCCTTGACATTAATAATTTTCTGTCTGGAGAATCATGTTCTGTCTGAGTACGGAATTATAAGACATTGAGCATCCTAAAACTATGGGAACATAAGATGCAGTGGAATTTACAGGTTCAGTTCTCGTATAATAAGCCAAAGGCATTATGGCCAAGACTGGCAAGTTGGATGGGAGAAGGGAGCTTGGAAGGCATTATTAGTCTTATGGTGAGTCCTGCTTTGTGATCAGTGTAGTCCTCTGCTCAGGGGAAAAAAAAAAACCAAAGAGATTGTTCCCAATATAAATCTAAGATCAGCAATAAGAACTCTTCATGTTGGATTTATTCATCCATTTTCCCTTGGTTCTCTTGCTCCAGACTTTCTAAAGCAGAGAGCTGTGCTGCTTGGCTGGCTGTGAGGGAAAGAGGTTAATACTGAAGATTACACAAGGTTCTGCAATTAGACAGTTTCTTTGTACCATAATGTAGGCGCCAAGATGACCTCAGAGGCCTTTTTTGCTGTTGCAGAAACATATTGGACAAGTTTTCTCAGCAGCTGTGCATTAGTGTTCCATATTTAATGGGCTGATTATAAATTACAACAGCTACCCTAAGATCTTCCCATCACTCTGGATTTCTTCACGGCAACTTTCTTGCTTTCCTTTTTTTCCCTTGCCTCCAAGGGCTGCTTTGCAAATATGTGCCATTCGGTGGGAAAGCAGATGGGAGGATAATAAAAGTTATGTTTTATGGATTCATACGAAGACTGCTCTTTTTTTTCTTCTCAAGGAGAAAAAAAAAAAAAAAAAAGGAAAAAAAAAAAACCCAAGAAAAAAACTTGCCTCACATTTCTTTTCAGGAAAAGAAGTTCCAAGCGAGCAATGCGGGACTGATAGAAATGGGAAAGATGGAGCTGGGCATATCCAGAGATAGAGGAAGATGACTTTTCAGAGCATACAGATGGGTTTTTATTAGTATTATTTTGCTTCACCTTGGGTCTTTCATCCCACTTGTACAATCTACCTCCACACAACAAGTTCAGTATATGGTATATTTCTACTTGCTGGAGTCAACAGCTCATGAAATAAATGAGGGGAGAAGAGAATAGGGAAGAATCCCAGCCCTCTCAGCTGCCTGGGAGAGGCACACATCTGCTTGGCTTAGCGTGGGGCCCAGCAAGGCGGCCCAGCTGGTGGGCATTGGTCAATCACTTGCCTCCATTTCTTCAGCACACTTTAAAGACCCAACCCATGCAAGTCTAAGTTTCAAATTAGGAAACAGGGCTTTTCTGTTTGTCTTTCTTCCATAGCTTTCCTTCTCCTGCCCCTAAACTCTAGTTGGCTTTGATTCCTCCTTAAGCTGTTTCTTATGTGTAGTTTGCAATGTTGTTGTTTGTTGGGTTTTTTTTTTCCTATTTTATTTTTAGGAACACTTAAGGGTGAAGATTGTTGGACTGGAGTGCGTGACTAATGAAAGCTACATTTTGATATATTTATTTTCCTATCCAGTTGTTTTCTAGGGGCAGCTGGAATTGTCCATATCTTCTTAATGGATGTGTGTTTCTGGTGTTGTTTGTTTGTTTTTCTTTAGTGAGAAACAAATGCCCTTTACTGTGGAGGAGAAGTGCAAACACCTTCTCAGCCGTGTTTTTGCATCTGTAATGTCCTGTAATCAAGGGTCTCAGCCCCACTCAGCGTTGGGCCCCCAAAGCTTTTGAGTGGCATAATGGATCTTCTAAGAATTCATGGCTCTGTTTGCTCTCTTAACCTGTTAAGAACTCCTAGAAATGATCTGTGGATCCTGGGAATCATTAAGCAGGGGATTGAAAACGTGACTTGCAATTGTTTGTATGCTAAGCTCAGAGGCTAAGTGTTTTGGCTGACATCAGAGCTTTGGCTCTTACTCTCTTCCTTTTTTTTTCCCAATGCACACCTCCATCCCAAGAGATCTGGAGACTCCCAGCCCAATTTTAGGCAGCAAAAACAAACTTTCTTTATTTTTTTTTTAATAATTGTGCTCTAGGTTTTCTGGAGCCTGAAACACAGCAGGGGGGCTAGGTTAATACAAACCAAAAGCACGCTTGCTAATCTGGTCTTTATGCTGAACGTGAACAAAATTCCTGCTAGGATGAGGTCAGCGGCACGCAGCACTTCAGAATTGGCTGAGGTGTAACTGTGACAGCAGCTGCCTGATCTTTGGGACAGCCATGAGCCTGGGGCTCTCCAAGCAGAACACTGAAAAGCCAAAGTCCACAGGCTGATGATGAATAAGTATATCTTAAAGCTGCTATCTGTTATGTGTATCCTGCTCTAAAACAGGTATAGCCCATAGATGGTAGGAATAGCTTGCTCTCAGTTCAGAAGAAAACACGTAATTCCTAATGTTAGGAGGGTCTTTAGACCAGTAGAGAAAAGGATGTAACAAGATCCAACATCTGTGTTTATTTAACATTGATTTCCAATTGGGAAACAAGGTGAATGTTTTTAACAATGGAATGATGAACCTCTGGAGCAGTTGCCTGAGGGATGCGGTAGGCTCTCTGCTACTGAAATCTGATATATCAAGTTCAGATCACTTTTCTGAAAGAGGTGTTCCAGCTCAACATGAAGTCCCGGAGTTCAGTGAAAGGCTACAGTGTGAATTTTTACATCGGTAGGTAAGTGGGAGGTCAGATTAAATGATCATAATAGTCTTTTTTTTTTTTTTCCTTTCAACCTTTTGAGTTGAAATCCTTGAGCATGCACTTCATAAAAGTCATATCAGAAAGATGAGAGAGGTCTTAAAGGCAAATATTGCCTGCCAAACCCAATTATCAGAGCGGCAGTTGAAAGTGATTTGTGCCCTTGCTCAGCCTGAAGCATTTGACCACTGATTATGGCAAAGGATGTATGTGGTGGTAGAAGTGAGAGGGCTGCAAGGAAAGGGCTTGCAGGTGCAGGAAACCTCCACTTTCTTCATATGAAGACTGGAGAACAGTGTGAATTGCCTTGGGCTAAAGAGGTGTCTGCTTTTTGGAGAGGTGCCCAGGGAAGAGAGAGTGTCACCATCCCTGGAGGTGTTCTAAAAACATGGGGTTGTGGCACTGAGGGATGTGGTTTATTTGGCAATACTGGATGTAGGTAGACAGTTGGACTTGATGTTCATAGAGGTCCCTTCCTGCCTAATGATCCTATGGTACTGTGCCTCAAAGCCTCTCCTATGTCTCATATTACAGTCAGTGCAGTGCAGATGCACATGTGAAGCAGGTCATCTCACCTCCAGGGCTTCACTGCAACCCTTTGTAAGGCTGTGAGAGAAGCCTTTGCTTCCTGATGTATAAAGGAGAGAGCTGGCAGCACCATGAAGCAGTGTTTGCAGCCAAGCCTGCCTTGTACCTGATGCGCCACATGCATACAGGTTATGAATAATTTCTTCCTTAAGAAATGAGCCTAGGTTAAAAATAGCCCCTGCCTTTAGCAGCTTGCTGCCTCCTTCCTGCTCGCCGAGGTCAGAGATCTGTCGAGGTGTTGGCAGTAAGTTTTAACGTGGAAATATTTAGAAGTTAAAGCTGTCTGGTATCTCTTTGCCAGTGCGCAGAGCTCTGGGGCAGATGATGGAGTGGTGTTCTCACCCTGGCCTGGAGATGAACCTGTCTGTGAAGAGAACTAGAGACAATTTCTCCATTACATAACCCGGCCTCAACTCCGCTGAAGCTGTTAACAAAGGGCTAACAGCACGGTTTTGTGATGTGATTCCTTTCCAATTGCGGCTGGATCCAGAGAAGGTGTTTTAAAGCTGCTGCACAGAGGTACTGATCTTGCTGTACATGGAGGAGTCCCCTGGTGTAACGCCATCTCTCTGTTACTGTCTGTGATGAACTCGTAAAACAAGGTGCATTTGGAGGGTACATGGTAACACACTTGTACATTCTTGTTTCTCTTCTGTGGGATTAGATCTGCTATGAGCACGCAGAGCTGGACAGGCTGCAAGCTTAGGGCCTTTCCTGCTCCAGCTGAATTACACTGATGATTTCTCATTAATTCTCAACTCAGGGCTTACAGATTTTGTCACCATACGAGAAGCAGGGTCACAGACACATGGTATCAAACACAGGCTCCTTCCTCACCTGCTGACCAGAAGGACTCAGCAATAGTTTAGAACTGTAAGTAATGATATGTTCCCGCAGCTGGCAATGAAATAATCAGGATTAAGCCCCAAAGGCACAGTTAAAACCATGCAGCTCACACTGCGGTAAAGGGGAAGAAAACAATCGGGTGTTTACTTACTGAGCTGTTAATGAAGTGGTTTTTACTCTGACTAATCAAAGCTCTTGAGGTGGGTGGTGTTTTGCCTGAAGAAGAGAGGGAGACTTCTGGTCTCTGTGCTTGGAAGGAGAGTAAGGAAGGAACTGCAGGAAGATAAAAAGATCTTCTGGCACTTGAAATATATAAAAATTCTGTGAGTGATGACCTCTTTAAGGTTCTGGCATGCAGATCTCCACACAGACAAGATCAACCATTGATGGATAGTGCTAGGAGGGTGAGGAGGTTGACGTATGCTGGCTCCAGAAGGATCTGAGCCAGGTGCTGAGCTTTGAGACAGCTGGAGCCTGAAGGGAACTAAGCAGCTGTAGATCTCCATCCGTACTATCAAGGACGTGGTCACACAACTAGGCAAGATTTGTGTCGCTGTCTCCAAGTAACCCTTTCCTTTAATCCCAGTAAAGGTCAGAAAAGATGCTGTATTGGTTTGGGAACTCATGAACATGAAGCTTGTTCCCCTCTCTCCACAGTGAAAAGCTGTATGGCCCCCTGCTTGTCAGACACATCTATGCCTTTTCTGTGGTGCTGTCCTGCAGCATTCTTCATGTGGGTGCTCTCAGGTGCTGCCATTTCCTCTCTTCTCCTGCACCAGAGCAATACGTGCCTTCCTTGCCTTGTGGCTATGCTTTGTCTGCTCTCAGCCTCAGTGACTCATTGTAAAAAATGATCCAGTTTTCAGAAAGCACAGGGTTCTGTGTCCTCCACTTAATTATTGTTTTATTTTAATAAGCAATTATGTTTCAGAGGCACCTCAGAGCTCCAGGCGTTAACCACTTATCACCTGCTGAGTGATTTAGAACTAGTGAAGCACATCCCATTTGCAGGTTGGAATAAGGCCTGAATCCTATCAGCAGACAAATGAGTTCAGAAAAGCTCAATGTTTGTAACTCCATTGCTTAGGGATTCATCCCCAGGTCCTCAGAGAGAGGCTGAGTGGGCTGGAGGAGCTGTAGGGATGTCTGTTCCCTTGTTGTTCTGATAACAAGCAAAGGGCTCATTAGAGGCTGTGAAAGGGAGAAGACTATCTGTTGGTTGTTCTATACAATTTGCTTTGCCACAGGTATTCCGTAAGTCTCTCTCAATTACAGACCACAAAACCCTAGTTGCTCAATCTACCTACAGCTTGGGGTTCAGTGTGCGAGGTGACAACCTCCACAGTGAGAGGGCAGGGCAGGAAGGCAGTGAGTTTCAGCTCTAGAACTGATGTCTCTCAGAGCTGAAATATTAAGTACAATTAATGGTTTCTTCTCAGGACTTATCTTCCACCACTAAGCCATTTGTTGAGCTTCCTCCAAGAGCCTGAAACAAACTGGCTACAGCAATTTGCAAGAATAAACCTTGAGCGTTTCCATGGACTGCATGGAATCTGAGCACAGGTATCTGATAGGGGTGGATGGGGCTCTTGAGCACCTGATCACATGTAGGTGTCCCTGTTCGTTTCAGGGGAGATGGACTAGATGGCCTTTAAAGGTTCCTTCCAATTCAAGTGATTCTATGATTCTACCTTGAAGATAAACCTGGGTTATCAAATACTGACTGGCTTTCTCCTGCAGCTTTTATGACCTAAAGGTTTCTTTATTGTCCTCCCACATCTCCATGACTTCCAGGTGGCACAGTTGGAAGCCCATTCAAAAATATAATCCCATTACATCTTCTCGTTTTTAATGTATGACATAAAAAAACTATGCAGCAGGTAGGCCTGCATTTAACTCCTCGGTTGGAAGGTTCAGCAGCTCAGCCCGTGCATGCTATAAAGAATTATTATTGGCATTATCTACTGTGTTTGTCAGCACATGTGCCATATGCTCCAAGGTGTATGTCCTCCACTGAGTCATTTTACATCTTCCATATGGGGTCTGTCCTCAAGGTTCCACACAGACTCTGAGGTATTGAGGCAATAATGAGAAGGGTAATAAATGCAATAAGGGAAAAATAGGGCTGAATCTTGCAGGGAGTCCCTGAGCAGCAGGAATAGGAGGCTTCTTAATTCATTTCCTCCTCTTATGTTTGGTGATACAGAGCAGAGGAGGGGTGGGAACAAGACAAGGATATTAGAAAAGGAGAATCCCATGTCCTTATTGAGGAGAACGTTTTCCTCCCACTTGCTGCATGAGGAATCCTTTGAGTGTAGTACATTTGAAAGAGTCTTACCTATGCTGCAGATGCTTATTCAAAATCATTGTTGCTCTGAATTAAGGTGAAGAGTACAATTATCACTAGCTGTGTCCCCTAAAGTAACTTAAGCTGTTCAGCTGTTGTTTCAAAGCTCCAAGCCTGTGGTCCTGCTCATTTTCTTCTCCATATTGACTTTTTTTTTTTTTTGCCAGAAATAAGGAGGCGAGCTTTCTTTTTGGGGAAACAGCCATTTCTAAGCAACAACCAGCCTGAATTACATCGTAGCACCCCTTATGTTCCCACCTATGCACCATCAGAATGAGCCCAACAAGAAGCCTCTGTTCTCTTTACTGTGATTTTTTGCCTCACCTGTCCATCTGACCTTCCGCTGTCTATTTCCTCCTGACCCTATCTACTCTGATTTAGAGACTGATGTTTCCAGTATATCTCTTGACAGAAAGAGCAGGATTCCCAGAAGAGACTCTGTCAGTGCCCAGAAATGTAGATTTTGCAGGAGGTGGTCCAGCAAGGTGCATTTAGGACTTGTTTATTGCTGGATCGTTCCTTTCCAGCCTCAGGCCCCCTGGAGCCAGGGAGCCTCAGCTTTTTTCTGCAGCCCTCCTGATACTCCAGTTTGGATTTGGGATGCAGCTCAGCAAAGTTTACCTGTCATATCCACAACAAGCTGGGGATGGCAATGCTAATATTGCAACATCTTTAGCAGAGCTCGATGATAGCATTTGACCCAAATTACAAAGGGAAAAGAAGCAGCTCTGTAAAAACTAAAATGTCTCTGGTCGACGAGTTCTATTGAAAACAAAAAAAAAAGCTAAGAATGAAAGGGGCACATTCTGATTTCTCTCTTGTCTTAGTGTGATGTTATGGGGCTCAGCTAAGCAATCATTGCATAGACCCCGAGGAATCAGACTATGTTTGCTGAGAAGGCAACCTTATGCTTTCATGGCAGCAGGAGAAAGAGCAGTGTGAATAGGATTGCCTAGAATCAGGTCCCCTTCTCTCTGCTGGAAGCTTAGGGAGATTGGAAATGTACTTTAAATCAAATAGATGTACCTGGGCTTTCGGGTTGTGTGGCATTTTAATTTTCGTACCCTTCCTTAGAGCTTAACTCAATGAAGAGAGCGATGAGAAATGCTCTGGGACTGACTTGTGAAGACCTGATGGGGTGTAAAGTAGTGAGTAGACTTGTCAAGGGAAGATTGTTCAGGGCTAAATTAAGGTGAGAAAATAGTGGATGTACTCACCTTAAGTTGAAAAGTACTCAAGAGTTCCTTGGGTGAAGATATTCAGCTGCTTGTTAACAATACTTACCTTATGATCTATCAACATTTGTGAATGCATCCCTTTACATACTTTATGTACAGTCTATGCATGTCCTCCAGGCTCACTATTGTGTTTTCCTGCAACTAGAAAGCATGGTTCTTTTGATACACAACATAATCTTTGGACAGCTGAAGGGACTCCCTTGCTCCCAGCGCTCAGGGCAATAGTGAAATATTTGCAGTTCAGTGGGAGATGCTTCTAGGCTGCATTAAGGAGCAGCAGCCACTATGTGTGGGAAAGTTATACAGGCATCAGTTTATGCTTGAAGATCCTGAAATTGCACATGTAAGCCAGATGGAGGTGCGTGGCTTGGCCTTGCAGACACGTAGAAGGTACATGTCTGAGTTGCACCTGAGAATGACCCAGAGGACTCTGAGTGATGTGATCCTTTAGAGAGAATAGTGAAATGCAAATATTAGAACTGGAAGTGAATCCTCATGAGGTCTTACGATAGTAAAAATGTTCTCCTCATCCTTGTCCTATAGTTGCAGTATGAACACATTTCCTTGAACGTTTCTTCACATGTTTTTGTTATTGCTGAAGTGAGCTGATGTTTTCATGGTATTGGTGGATGTACCTGGGACAGTGCTGAACTACAATCTCTGTAGCTCAACTTTCTTGTTCCCACTGTTTCTCAACAAGGCTTGGGCAGGGGAATGGGCCACAGGGGAATAGCTGGTGAAACAGGAGAGACACCTTGATACAAGAGCCATTTGAAGGAATATTAATTAGCAAGCAGCTAGTTCTGGACAATTGAATTTCGGCTCCAGATGTTCTCATTCTGACTAAGTGCTTTAGCAAAATGCTTAATTGATTACTATCTCATGAGCTCTGTGTGTGTGTGATAAAAACTGAGACTGCTGAGTTAGAGGGGTTGTCTGTTGATAGCAACACAGCACAGTATTTCCTCACCTTTTAAAACTTACTCGTTTTTTATCATAGGGAAACCGGGCAAGGTTTCAAAAACGTTCTTTAATTTGTAATCTTTATTGTAGTCACCGTGCTGGTTAAAGTCACTAAAGGCCCAAGTATACAAGGATGAAATCAAATAAAGACACATCTGTGTTTGGTGTGAAAGGCCTTTGAGCATTGTTAAAATGAGGGACTGTTAATTTAAGGCCTTCTTGATTTCTGTACATCTTTATAACAGGTACAAGGACAGGGGGACAAATTAAAAATGAAATAGACTGTTGGGATAAAATGAAATCAACCTGAGTTTTTGCCCTAGGCTGTAATTGAACCGGAGCTGAAGTTCAAATAAGAATTTTATTTATTTATTTTCAAGCTGGCCTTTGAGCCAATGAAGCTCAGAAATGTCAAGCAAGTAGAAAGGGTTGTTACAGCTCACACCTTGGGTGGGGGGGTAGAATCCAAGTGCTGCAAGGCAAGGGATGTTTTATAATGTGTAAAATGATATTTTGCAATGAGGTTAGATGGTGGCAGAGTTTTGACTTGGATTCTTGCAACTGGATGGGATGAGGGTTTGTTGTTTTGTTTTTTTTTTTTCCTACTTTTTTTTGGGGTGTGGGTTGTTTTTGTTTTTGGGTTTTGGTTTGTTTTTTTTTTGGCAGACTGTATACAACTTCTTGTGAAATCATTGAGATCTCTTCATTGAAGTTCAGTGGAAGCTGGCTTGACTCTAATGGAGATAATGGCCATTAAAAAAAAAAAAAGTTTTTTTCATGATAATTAGTAGATTTGTTATCAGTTGATCCAGTGTGGTTTTTCCCTTGGAAAATGCACTGATCTCTATGGAATAACCCCTGAGTTTTTGGTCTCATTCCTTTTGCATACTACAGAACTTCTACTGAGTGCCGTAGAATAAAATTTGTTCCTAAAGAAATGCGAGGGTTTTTTCCCAAAAGCACGGAACATAATTAATGGATGTGACTTCTGCACCAAAAAAAGTCATATTGGTAGGTAATATTAGTGTATTGTGCTGGGAGAGCAATTGTATATTTTATTTTGCCTTTCCAGAGTTGCTTGGCATGAATTTCTGCAGCATTATGAAGCTGTTATGAAGACCTCAGTGCTACTCGTGACCTTTGGAAAATGTGGGATTTAATAAGAGAAAGGGCTCTGAGGTTGATTTGCTGAAATACCCACTACTTATTCCTTGGCATTTGGTTATGCCGGATGCTTTTGTTCCAACTGGGGTTGCTCATCTGTGAGCAACAAACTAGTGGCACAAATCCCCATGCATGACCTTCACGATCTTCTGTGGCCTAAGAAGGTTCACACCCCACTTAATTTGCAGAGACTGTCTGGATCTTCCAGTCTGACATCACTGATGTATGTGGCAGCAGGTAAATGAAAATAAAAGGCCAATTTGAGGGCAGCTATTTCTGACATGAGAATTTAGGAGTAACGAATTGATTCTTTTGAAAAATAGCTATTTTTAGTGCTCATGGAGGGTTGTTTTCTAGGGACTAGTGACAGGCTGTGCTGCCAATGTGTGTAGGTTGATTTTGGAGAAGCAGCCAGCCAGTTTGTATGGGGGCTGATGTCTTGCAAACTCATGAGAGCATGCTGGCACAGGAGACTTTCTATTAGACTAGGACAACACAAACTGTAGCTGAACTGTGCCTTTTTACAGATGGTCCTAATCCTAAACCTATTCCATTTCAAGTTCAACTGATCCTCGTCCTTTTAGGCTATGAACTGACTGGCAAGACTTACACCATCTCATGGCTCACATGGGACTGGGATCCAAATATCTAGAATGTCATTAAGTCAGATTTGGGCATCAAATTTGAGCCTCTGGCAGCAGGATGTCAAATCCTGGGCTGAGCCTCTTCTGGCTTTGAGTTCCCGAGCTCAAAATGACAGACTGTTCCTACAGCAAGCAAACTGCTGCTCCAAAAGAAGAGATCAGTGGGAGCAGTTGGGCATTGACGAGCAAAGGCCGAGTGCCTGCTCCATGATGTTTAGGTCTTTGTGATAATAATTAGATCTTAAAATGTGTCAATTCTGTATAGGGCAAATCATCAGCATAGGCCAGCAGCCTGTTTCCATGGGAGTGAGTGTGTCTGCTGCTGTGTGACTTGCATAAGAGCTAGCTAATGCAGCTGTGACCCTGCATAGCTGTATCTCAGCTTGTAAGCTGTGGAAGCAGGATGGGAATGATGTGAAAATGAAGGACTCTTGCTACCTCCTGATTTCTGCTGTCTTCATCACTTCTGACTTTCATAAAACCTTCCCCTGCAGAGGTGCAGTCAGTGTTGCTGCTATAAAGGCAGTGAGGAACACTGCCAGTGTCCAGGGGTCCTCAGAGAACAGCTTTCTTTTCCCGTCAGAAAAACTGTGGCTATGAATTACCATTTGTATGTTGCTTTGAGAGAACAGAAATGTTACGTCTGTGTTCCTTTCTGTTTCTGCCACTCTCTTGCTACCTCAATGGTATTCATGCTATGAGGAAGGACGAGACCACTTTCCTTGGGAAAGAGGAGGTATTGAGGTAACCAGGGATGAATGCAGAACCAGGACAAGGAGAAATGGTCGTATGGACTGTAAAACTGAGCCATTGCACTATACTGAAGTCAAGCTTTCTCTGTGCATTGATGCATCCCTGTTATTTAGGGGAACCATGGCAAGCAAATTCATTTGTTGCATATACCTTCTCCAGACCAAGGAGGGGAAAATTCTCCTTCCCATGATCTCCACTTTATCAAAGACTGACTCAATCATCTCTGTTCAAGAGGATGAAGAGAAGAATTTGGTGATATATAGAAATGGCTGAGTCACGGCCTGAACTACTGATTGAACACCTGGGGAAAGGACCCGGTCAGCTCTGGAAGCACAGGTGAAGGCAATTCAGCTGTGTGATCAGAAGGGGTGGAGCCTGGTTGCACCTCACTTTGCACCTCATTGAAGTGCTGACCTCCACTGCAGAAGGATCTCTGGTTGGGGATCTCCTCCTTGTGCTTTTTTCCTGCGACCATAGAGGTGGGTGAGCACCTTTCTTTTTCCTCTGTAAGGTCGTTCTGTTTGTGCTAGCCTCTTTGTTATTATTCTCCTGTATTGCCCTTCTTTTGGATAATAATGGCTGACATATTTGGCTCTCCCCAGAATCCATGGTACAAAATGCAACTTGTATTCAAGGCTGCAGTGATTTTATCTTTTGTGCTCTTCTCTCTTTTCTTCTCCAGCCTTCTCACTATTGCCTACACAGAGAATTTACAGTTCTTTCAGCTGCTCCTTTTCCTTTCTTTGCGCTTGAGACATTTTCTGTCCCTGCAGGTTTAGATCCTGGGGGAGTATTGGCAGAACCCATGCATCCCATTTTCTTTTAGGATTTGGCATAGGAGCTTTCTGGAGATCTGGACACAAATATCTGCTCTCTTCCTCAGAATGTGACTGTTGCTATCTGATAAATGGGTGGGATCATGCAAGGTCAGTTGCTGTTGGTTGTGATCCCAGCATTGCCAGCACTCAGTCCTGTCTCACTTGAAGGGGTTGGCATGGCTACCAGTCTTCATTCCCCTTTTTTAAGCCCTTAGTTTCAGGATAACCTGTCAAAGGAAAGAGCAGTACAGTTGCACAGCCCCTGATCCACCAGCATGACCTCAATGAGAATTAGGTTAAAGCTAATGCAAAATAGGTGAAGCCTTGCAAAGCAAAGAATACCCAGGGGGGACTCCAGACTCAGAGAATGAACTGCTTTGTCACCATATTAAATCAAATGCACAACACAGATAGTTTCTGCTAGTATGCAGTCTGCAGAAGTTCTGGAGGTGAGAAGGGATCTGAGCAGCTATTAATTTTATCTGTGTGCAGTAAGTCTCTTCTACCCCCATGGAGAAAGATAAATGCATGAAGCTTCTGGAGCCTGAGTTTGCTGAATTCCTCATGGATTTGAATGGCCACATTATAACATTGGCTTGGGAGCTCATCAGGCCTGAAAATAGAAGCAAATCTGGTGATATGCAGTGCTGGGAAAGTCAACAGAGAAAATGAGCGTTCCATAGGAACAGTGGTTGTAATTTACCACTGCCACAGCAGTTCCATGGTCCCTGCTTCCACTTGGAAGCTGAGTCCATGACATGAAGGGGGAACATCAAAAGCCAATGAGGGACCCTGGATTGCAAAGCAGATAACCTTGCTCCACTGAGCAAAATGCTTTCTTTGTTCCTTTGATCTGGGAGGGGTACTATCTGTTGGCACCCAAACTGCTTTGGGGGATTTTGCTGAACTCCACTGCCCCACCAGCTCACAACATTGGAGGCAGTTGGATTTCAAGGATGAAATCAAATAATTCCTCTGTGAGCTTATTGTGAGATGTCTTTGGCTAAAAGCCTGGGAACCAATCTTCTCATGACCTAGTATTCAGTGATAGCAGGCTGCTTTATGCTGTATTAGTTTCCTCCACATGCTTTTTTTGAAGTGACAGAGTTCAGCTGAGGGTGGGGGAGAACAACGCAAAAATATTGCTGATCTCCACTACTGAGAAAAAGGCCAGAGCCCCATGTGGGGCCCTCAGGGGGGACAATAATCTATCTGTTGAGATTGAGCCTGATTTAATTTTTCTTATAAAGCACCTTAGCAGCTGCCTACATCTGATAGGCTGTTAGTAAGAATTTCCCTAATTGCAAAAGGGAAAGTAATTTACATTGGCTTTGCATCTCTGGCAAGCAGAAAAGATCCTGCCCCACCTGAGAGTGATTGGGGAGCAGACAGGTGCATGCAGCATGGGGGGCAGGGAGAAAGGCTGGCTCCGTACTAAACAACCACAAGAAAATGCCATTTGGAGTGTAGCAATGGGTGAGTGACCTGGGTAGAGAATCAGCTTTCTGTCCACAGCAATGCTTTGGAGCAGCTTCCCAGCCAGATCCTGCAAGATTGCTCTACAAGGAGCAACAGTGCTGCCTGACTGCAGGCTGCTCCATTTAGCCCAGTGCTTCTGCTGACACACTGCTTGCTCTCCCTTGTTAGAGGCATGGGAGTTCCAGCACCAAGCTGCCCTAGGACTTCTTTTTATTTTTCTCCTCATAATGAGCTGATAGCGTCTTAGGGAAGGACTGTGGCATTCATTGTGTTGTAAAGGCCTCTCCAAGAGGTGTAGGGGTGCAGTTACCCAACCTCATGTCTCCAGTGCAGGATTTGCACTTTGCAGCCCACCAGCTTTAAGTGCCCCTGCCTTTTCTGCCAGAAATGAGCTGTGAAATGCTGAGGAGGGGAGAACTAGAATTATGTCAAACAAAAAAGGGTGATGGAAGCGTTTTTTTTCTTGTTCCTTGACCACTGGGACCATGCAGAGGATTTGTTCTCTTAAAAGGCAGAGGCTGCTGGGTCCAGAGCTTTCTCCTGGACTGTCCTCATTTTCTGAAGCATTTTCAGAGGGGGTGGTGAGCAAAGAGAACTGATTGCTGAGTGCTTGCAGCTGGAGTGGGCTGGGAGACTCCTGAGAGCCTTTCAGTGCCCAGGCCAACCTTTCTGCAGGTAGGAAGAAGGGCACTTCAGGTTGTTTTCTTTTTCTGTGGTCCACAGAGATGTTGAAAGCTTCTGGATGACAGAGCAGGAGAGGCCCTTATGTTGCAAGGACTCGGTGACCACAAGGTAAGTTTGTTTTTTTTTGACTTGGTGTTTAAACTGTCTTTAAAAGAAAGCGATGTCAGAGATTGTGTTAGAGCTTTGGGTAGCAGGATGTGGTTGTTTTGCAGAAAGTTGTGGCTGATTTAGGGCGCTGGTAGGGGCAAGTAGGGAAGAAAGCCCAGGCTGCCCAGAAAAACTTGATACCTCATCCCTGGAGGTGCTCAAGGCCACGTTAGATGGGGACCTGAGCAGCCTGACCTGGTGGAGGGCAACCAGCCCATAGCAGGGGTTGGAGCTCCGTGGCCTTTAAGGTCTCTTCAATCTAAGCCATTCTGTGATCGCGTAGTGGATGGGGAAGGGTTTTGTTGCTGGACAACATGGTTGAACAGCTTGGAGTAGGTCATTGGAAGATCCTGTAGTAGGAGATTACTCAGGAGAAAGGTGAGTCCTTTTAGGGGAGCTTATCTGTAAAAATCAGGACTATGAGAACATAACCTGAATATTAATTAAAGATCAATGTATCTAGGTGTGAAATTTCATTCCTTTCTTGATTGAGCTGTGCTGGAGAGCAGTGTGCTTTGACAGTGGGCACATTGTACCCTTGTTCTATGGAGCTCTCAGGCACTCCTGTCATAGCTGCAGGCAAATAGGGGACCTTGCTAAAAAGGCTCAGCATTTACAGCAGCCTTTACAAATGAGGGATCTTGCCTGAAAGCAAGAAAGATGAAATTAAGACAAGTGCAAAGTGCTCCTTTTAGACAGGCAAAACAGAAGACAAACAAAACAGGGAGTACGTGATAAGGCAGCAGTACGGCAGGTGAGGTCCTGGGGTTTGTGCTGCTTCACAAGCAGAATATGAATCAACCCTGCACTGCTGCTGCAAAACAACTCGTTGTACCCAACACTGTATTAATGAGAGTGCTCTTTGCCAGATATGAGAGGCAATTATTGCAATCTGCTTGGGGCTGGCAGAGCTTCAGCCAAGTGTGGGTGTCTGGAACTGATGAGAAACTTTGTCTACACCCATTCAAAAACTGGGAGGGGTAGTCCAGTGAGGGGTGGGGGGGGAAGGTGACTGATGAGAGGTTAGGCAAACAAATACTGTGAACAATGCTTGAAGACAGTGCATTTATTTATTTTAGGAGGAAAAAAATATGGAAATGGGATGCAGTAAGTCTTTTTACACATAAATAGTACTTATAAAAAGGCTGGAGATGAGGTGTTTTCCATAGTCACTGGAGTGGAAAAAAGAAATTGCTTGAATTTATAGTGGAGATGATTTAAGGTGTTTATTAGGAAAGCCCATCTAATTCCTAGAGGGGTAAAACACTGAAGCAGGCTGCTTGGGGAGAATCACAGATTCATTAAGGTTGGAAAAAGCGTCTAAGGTCATCTACTTTAACAGTCCACGACCACCAGTGGTGCCCACGTCCCTCAGTGCCACATCTCTATGGCTCTTGAGCACCTCCAGGGTCGGTGAATCCATCACCTCCCTGGGCAGCCTGTGCCACTGCATCATTGCTCTTTTGGAGAAGAATTTTTTCCTAGTAAGATGATGCAGCATCCCCCTTCTCAGTGGATCTTAGAGCAGGTTAGACAAACAACAATCGGGACAAGTACTTAAGTATATTTGTTCCTGTCTCTGATGGTCCCATGGGATGCCTTTCTGCTGTACATTTCTATAATTAAGTACAATATAAAGACACAGACTCTTCCTTGAGGAGTTAAAAATCTGTCTATAATTAGAAAAAGTCATAATCTTTTAATGATAAAACTAGGTTAAACGTGCCTTATGTGACAGCTCCGTTAATGTATCATTATGGAACAAACATCAGGAGGGAAGGGAATTCTTTAAACTAAAGAACAGCGCTGGTGTAGCAACACGAGTATAAAACTGGCCAAGCATATATTAGGCAGGAAATTGAAAGAAAGTTTTGAACTGTCAGAACAGCAGTGTTCTAAAACAGCCTTTTATAATGGGAATGCTGCGGGCAAAAATCAGAACTTGTTTTTAAAACAGAGCTCGCAAAATTAATTCAAAGGATTATATAGAGCTACTGCCTGTTGTAGTGGAGTCCCGGGCGAGGAGATCCCTTTTGTTTTCTTATTTTAGGAGCTGAGGGAACAGAAGTGTTTTTGCCCCAGCGGGGCTGTTTTCTGCTGTTTATTGACACACGTGTGCCTCTTTCATCCCGGTGCTTTTTCTGCTGTGCAGCAGTTACTGCTGTCCCTTTTAAGACGTGAAGGTCACAGCTCTGTTTAAAATGGCATAATTGCAATAGATGTAACTCCATCTTTGGGAAGACCTTCTGAAAGGGGTCTGCAAATCCTCAGGTGCTGCGAATCATCCTGACTGTTCCAAGGTTGCAAACTGTGCTGACTGCAGAGAGCGTGGTTTGGGGTTAATGTGAGCAGCTGGGAGAGCTGCCTCAGGTGTTCCCATTTGGCAGCCCTGGTGGTGCAACGTGAGGGGTTGGGGTGGGACAAGAAGCTGCTGCAATGGGATGCTGTGTGCCAAATGCAGCTAACAGGACAGTTCAGGCTCTATGCCAGCAGAGGAACTGAATTCGGTGCTGACAAATGAAACAGAGATGTGATTGGAAATGCCACGCTTTGGAGTTATAAGCAATTTTCCTATAATCAATCATCCAAACCAAATTGTTTTCATTTCTTTACAATATTTAGCACCTCTTTGAAAGCAGACAATAGGAGCTGTGTTTTGATTTCTTCTTTTGACCTGTTGCTCAAACTGATGTGATTTGTGTGCTTTGGCAGTGGGATGCTGGTGGGAAGGAGCTGAACTGGGTTCACTGTTTTTTTTTTTTTTTTTTAAAAAAAAAAACCTTGGCAAAGACCACATCTGTGATTATCAGCCAATCATTCAGATAGAGACGTGGTTTGTCCGCTCGCATTAAGTCTGTAGAGTATCTGGCTGTGCAAAGCTGTCAATGAAACTTCTACATAAGAGGATGGTGGAGGGAATGAGGGAGGTGTTAAGGGAGAGCTGGGTTTGAGAGCCTCTGGCTCCCTGAGTGATAGCAACAAAGGTGAGATGTTGTTAGACCCATCAGCTCTTCTGGGTGTTCCTAATTACGTGAAGTTGCTGACCCAGTTGGAGATTGTGCAGGAGGGGATAAGTAGAGCAGGAGGGCTGGTTCTGATATCCTGGGCTGACCCATATCGAACAATCCCTTTTCTTAGGGTTAAGTGCATTTTTGAGATCTAGGGGGATACATCTGCTTTCCCTTGGCCAAAGTGTTTGAGAAGGGAGAGGAAGCTTGTGGGAAGCATAAGTTGAGGTGACTGGGCCATGCTGAAAAACTGCTCGGTGCAAATGTAACAGAGTGGGAATTTGTGGGCAGATACAGCAAGAGTAAAGCCAGTACCTGCTCTGGAGCGTGTGCTTTTCATCTCTTTTGAGTCTGATCACTTTGGCCACATTTCAAGTCATGACCTGTTTGCACCATGCTATAAATCAGCTCAAGATGGGTTTGTGGAAAGGTAGCCTGCAAATGCTACGTCCTTTGCTGAGGCAAGTCTTCTTCCCCAGGCAGGCAGTACAATGAGCAGGATCTTCTCATCTGCTGAATTCAGAGCTGCCATTGAGCTGATTTGTCTCAGGGTATGTCTCAGCAGGAACATTGCACTCTTTAGCCAAGATGCAGGCCTTGCTGCATGCATGTCAGGGCAGGTGTGCATGGCCTGCTATGCAGCAAACTGACAGAGACCTCACTAATGGAGCCTGTCCCACTGAGTGATGCTCCCTTAAGGGATGCTCAACCTGGCGCCTATTGGTCCCACGGCAGGCAGTTGGTATTTGGAACTGCTGGAAAATCTCAGCATGTCATAGGAGTTCCCAATGTTTTTGTTCATCAGGAAAGAGTACAAACATTCTTTTCTAAAGAGAGCTTTGAGACAAACAGAACTGGAGAGCAATTTAAGGATTAGTTTCAGCTTTGACTCAAGAGCTTGACTATATATATAATTTTAAATATCATTGTGCATTTCAGTTTACATTCAGGTGGCCTTCCTTGCCAGTGGTGTGGCATGTGTGGGAGTGCAGGGGCTGGGTTTTCTTCTTGTTGTCAAATCTGAACAAATACCGTGTTGGGAGCCTGCTCACTCAATGCTGGGAGTCACAGAGGCGCCGGAGCCTCCTGGCATGTCCAGGTGAACAAGAAAGGCACGTTGATTATATCACTGGCACAGCAGATCAGCTCTAAGTACACGCTGCTCTGTGGCTTGGCTTCTTTGCAATAAATGGAGATGGTGCTGCTTTTCTTCCTGCTGTTGTCCATCCTGACTGTTTAGCTGCTGCTGGTGGAACAAGGAGTGTTTCTTGGTTCACGTTATACAGTGCTATGTACACCAGGGCTCTGTTTGCAGCAGGGGGCTTTCAAGTGTTGCATTAGAGCAAGCACACAGCACCAAACCTGGTAGATGAGCAGCCTGGGTAGCTCTAACAAAGGTGATAGATGGGCATGTGCCTGTCAGACTGCAACAGCTGAAATTCACCTAGCAAATCCCATTTGTAACAAACTACCATTTACAGACATCCTAACAGGAAGACCTGTTATTTTTTTCCATTGCCAATTGGTTCTCCTTGATAGAGCAAATACTTACATGAGGTTGAATGGATGCGATGATCTTTATCTTCCTGCTCTCCCCATGGTATGCTGTATTCATGTCTTAATTTCCCTTTTATAATGCCACTTAAATACTGAGCAGTACAAAGCCTCAAAGCACTGAATATCTATGGACAGTTAAAAATGAGTGTTGCTCTGTATTTTGAGGTGGTGGATTGCCCTCTCCTTTTATGGTGACTATGGGGACCTTGACGGCCACTTTGAGCAACATGTAAGGCTTTTATCTCTACTTCAACTTCCTCTATCCTCCTCCTCCTGATCTTCAGAAAATAATAAATCCACTCCTGATCATGGTGGTTAAAGTTTCCAAGTTCTTTTAATTAAGGCATGCTTTCCCTCCATTCAGATAAATGGCTCAGAATTTATCTTCTATTGCTC